GACGACTGTAAAACTGAGACACCGAGCAGGAAATCAAACCATGCCAGAGCCCCTGATCCACTGGCAGTGAGCTCTGGCTGATGGAACTCAGAGCAGATTCCCAGGATGAGGGGTGGGCAGTGGGCAGCCTGGTTCCCATCCTGGCAGGGATGCCAAAGCCCAGGGGCACACGTTGTGTCCATCCCTGCTGCAGAGCTGGGCACAGAGGGGGTCCTGCACGCCCATGAGTGCCCATCCCCAGATTCCCCCCACAACCCCTTCCAGTGGCTTTGGCACCTGCCGAGGCTGGCAGAGATGTGGGCAGGACACAGCCCCACACCAGGACGGGTGTGGGTGAGGAGAGTGACCACGGCACCGTGAGCAGTGCCCGGGGATGAACCACAGCTCGTGATGGTCCCACCCTGCTGAGACAGGTGTGGCCCCTCTGTCCCCATCCACGGTGCTGCTCACTTGGCCATCGGGTGTGGGTGCTGCCCACACGGGTGGGGCTGTACGGCCCCGGTGCCCCCGTGCTGTGCCATCCCAGCCCGCTCCTCACGCATGCCAAGGCTGCTCGGGAGGAGGCCCCGCCGGTGTGTTGGGGGTTTTTTTTTTTGGGGTTTTTTTTTTTTTTTTTTTTGGAGAGCCACGGAGTCAGGAGGGGGGAAAATGCTGGAGCCCATCAGCTCTGCAAGCTGCACAGTGCTGGTGGCGTGGCGTGACTGGGACAGAGCCAGAGGGACAGATGAGATCCTGCTCCCCCATACTGCCCTTGGACTTCAGTTCTGTTCACAAAGCCCCAGATTAAAGAAACAGTTGAGAAATTACTTACTTTGGCTTCCCTTGGCACCAGGAATGGGTGAAGGTCTCTCCTTAGAGGGGATGCATTGGGCCCCTCGTGTTCAGGCGCGTTTCTCCTGCACATTCCTCCCTCTGGAACACTGCCCTGCAGTGCCCAGCACTTGTGTCCGGCATGGTGGGAGCTGAAAAGGGACCTTGCTTGGAAACCAGTCAGAAGCAGGCAGGAATGTTTGCTGGGCACACACACCGGGGGTTCAGGACCAGCACAAACCAATGCTGCACGTACAGACATTTTCAGAGGGATTTGGCAGCACTTTTTCTCAGAGCTGGGCTGTGCAGGGCTTCCTCACGTGCCATCTGGTAGCCACAGCCAGGAGCACTGATGGTTCCATCCCCTCCATTCACAGGCTCTGTTAGACTGAGCCTGATGAGACAGAGGAAGTATTTTTAGTGGGATGAGAGTCCTGCACGAGGCTCTGTGCTGAGCAAGAGCAGCCAGTGAGTGATGCAGCAGCTACATCATCTCCAAAAAATAAACTTTTATCAACCCTCCACGGGAGCAGCCCCCAAGGCATCACAGCCCCAGGCAACACCCTCCACCAGACCCCTCCCAGGGGCTCCTGGGCATCCCTCCTTCCATGAGGCTGGGATCAGGGAACCCAACACTTGGGGCTTTTATTTTTAGCCCAGCAAACTATAAATACAGCCCACGGTAACCCATGGGAATCTGAGTGACTGCTCGGCCCGGGAAGTGACGGCACCAGGGAAGCCGTGGCTGCCAGAGCTGCACCACCAGGGCTCCAGCAGGAAGGGCTCTGTCCTACTTCCAGACACCTGGCCTGGATGGAAATACTTCAAACCACTTATGGATTGTGCTGCACCAGGCACGGGGCTGCTGCAGTGGGGAGAAGGGGCTAGCAGGAGGAGTGGGCTGCTGCTTGTCGCAGGAAAGGAGAGAGGAGGGATGGGGAAGGTGCACTGGAGGCCAAAGCACAGATTGCAGGGGGGGGATTGTGCATTTTTTCTTTTTTTTGCTGAATGTTCCCAATGTGTGGGAGCAGGGGAGTTAAGTGCCTGTCTGTGAGGACGCCAGGAGCAGGGGGGTACAGGCAGAGAGCACCCCGTGATTCATCCCAGGCAGCCTGGCAACCAGCTCCTGTGCAGGGGAAAACACAGATGGAACAGGGACGCTGCAACACTGATCCAACAGCATGGCAAGAGCCAGCTGGTGTCCTCTGAAGGATGATTTTGAAGGTCTGAACTATTCCCTTCTCTTGCACACTTCATGGAGGAGCTGTGAGGGGCTTCTGGGGGTCCAGCAGCTCCCAGCACTTCACCCCCACTAAGGCCATGGGGACAGAGGTAAAATCTAATCCCACGTGCCAAGAAATCCAGAGAGTTGTTCAAAACTCCTCTCCAGCCCTTGCACAGTGGGAAGGGGCTGAGGTTGTGCATGGCAGAAGCAGCAGGGTCAGCACAGCCCTGGGGCTTCACAGTGCCAGGGGTTGTCCTGCACAGCCACATCGAGGAGGAGCTCAATAAATAATTCAAGCAAAGCTGGGGCGCGTGGGAGCTGCTGCGGGCTCGGGACTCCCGGGCACAGATTCCCTGGGGAGCTGCCCTTCCTCAGAGGACAAAAAGAGGTTCACAGCTACATAAATGTGGTTTATGCCCGAGCTACAGCTCATAAAAGCCAAGAAACCACATCATGCATAAGCACAGCAAGTCTGCCATGAATAATTCAGTCTTGGGGTGCAGCAGCAGCCACACACCTGCACAGCCCCAAGAGGCTCCAGCAGCCCTCAGCAGGGATTAGGAGTGAGGCCTCTGGAGCCACTGCTCACATCGTGCACCCAGAGCTGGAACCAGCTCCTGCTCCACGCTGCTTCCCACAGTGGGAGAGCTCCTTATGCAACTGCTGATGGATGGGTAACAAAACCTGCTGGAGAGCTGGGACTCTCCCTGCGACACTGGGGAAGCTGCACTGCTGCATCCCAGGCTGCAGGGTTGGTGCAGGACACAGCTGGATGTGCTGCTGGAGCCATCAGTGACCTCCTGGCATCACAGCTCTGAACTCAGCCCTTTTAAATGGGCACCAGCTCCTCTGCCAGGCATTTGAATCACAGCCCTGGCTCACAGAGCTGGTCACCTCTCCAGATTTATTTCAGTCCAGCGTGGTCTGGTCCAGCACATCTCGAGTTACTGGAGTCCCTCCCCCAGCCCCACCAGTGCCCGGATTCCTGGTGACACTGGATCTGCAGGGCTCGGGCTGTGCCCCAGCTCAGGTCACACTCGCTGGCACTCGGACCCAGCTCACACACGTACACTGCAGCCCTGCCCTGCTTGCAGCCATTTTCCAGGAACGACTTCCAGCTCACAAGTCCTACAGTCGAAGTGAAAGCTTTTGAATTACAAGAGAAAATAATTTCTCCCTTAATTCTGCTCCAAACCCAATTTTCCTATACCAAATCAGCCCCAGCAGCTTCCAGAGCTGCTGCTTCCTTTGGCCAATTCCTCTTATAATAAAATCAATTTTAAAGAAAGGCATGATCAAGCACAGAGCACATGACAGGATTGTCACCAAGGGGACGGAGCCTGGTTTGAGCTCACTGGGCTGTCAGGGCACAGGAGCTCCCAGGGGAAGCATCTGCTGCTTCCATCTGTTTCACAGAATCACAGAATGGTTTGGATGGGAAGGGACCTTACAGACCATCTTGTTCCACTCCCTGCCACCAGACCAGGTTGTTCCAAGCCCCGTCCAACCTGGCCTTGAACACTTCCAGGGATGGGGCAGCCACAGCTCCTCTGGGCAGTTGCTGGAACCCTGTCCAGAGGAGCTGATGGGCAATTGTACAATATTCTGCTCTTTCACGTGACCATGACCATCCATTCATGGGAGAAAGTGAACACAGGGAAGGAGAAAACCCAACCCAACGCTGGGATGGCACCGGCACACCGCCCATGGAGCGCTGGGAACCATTCTTGCCACACCGCTGTGCTGTCAGCAATGGCTCACCTTGCCAACACCAAGCTGCTTCTCCACAGCCCAGTGCAACCTGTGCTTCCCTTCCCCGCCCTTTGTGATGGATTTGGGCCCTGCTGGAGGTGGCTCATCCCTGCTGGAGCACCCCGGGACACGTCCCTGCGCCGAGGGCGCACCGGGAGCTGCCAAACACACGCCAATTCCAGCCCCTCCTGTCACTCACACAGCAGCACCTCTTCATTTTTAAGGTGTGGATTTCTGCCCAGACCTGCTGTACCAGTTTAGGTTCACAAGTGTCATTAACTAATGATACATCCCCAAGCTGCTTTAAGGTAATTTTTTTTTTGTTTTAATTGTAAATTAGCAGAGAGCCAAACCTTTGAATTGTCCTGCTGCTGTGCTGTGCATTGCAGCAAACCTGAGTTAGGGCCTGACACCACAACCACCTGCATTTAACACCACCACATTTACCAAGGTGATCTGAACATGCAGCATTTTGATGTCTCACACTCTAATCCTCCATCTCTCATGGGACACAATGAAAATCACTCTGAACTCAGCAGTCACTGTAACTGCTACATAAACAGGCTGCTGGCAGGTTCCTTGCCCTGAACATGGAAGAAAATGCTAATTAATTAAAAAACCCAACTGCCAAAAAACCCCAAATGAACTCTACAGATTCTCTCTCCTTTACAAAAATAAGCTCACACATTTACACAACCATCAGTTGCCTCCAAGGTACCCACAGAGAGGGCCAAGGCTTGGAAGTGCTTCCCAATCTCCCACAGCAGCGCTGGCACCACGACAGCCAGATGGGAATTTTGGTTACATCACGTTCAAGTTGCTGCATCCCACCAGCTGCTGCTTGCTGGAGCTGTTTTCCTTAATGAGGGTTCCCTTGTTGGGAAAGAAAAGATTTTAATTTGTCAGTCAACAACTGTCAAGATAAATCCATCTTCAGTGGCATTGGAACATCCCAGGGGATCACCAGATCATGTTTCACAAAGCCCTTGCAATGAATCTCCCCAAGTGCAACTTTTCCTGAAAAATAGAGAAATACCTTCCAGGTGCAAAACCAGCTGCTGAAGGAGGATTTCCTGCACAAACTCTGTATGAGCAGCTCTCATACCCCACTTTCTGAGAAACAATTCCAGCAACCTGCAGGTACAAGGAACAGCAAACAATGTGGATCCACAAACCTTTGCTGCTCCTGCAAATGATGGTTCCAAACACCTTGTAATAAATCAAAAAACTTTATTTTGAAGATATATTATAAATGTACAGCACACACAACATCAGTGTCTGGGGTTATGTGTGAGCAGGTTTAAAGCCACAGCATTCATTCCAGCCCCGGCCGTGGGTTCCACATCTCCACACAAAACAATTCCAGACTGAACAGGTCTGGCTTTGCCAACACCTCCCTGACTCCCAGGAATATATTTCAGAACAGCAACTGCTTAAAATGATCACAAATTAGCAGCATTCCTTGCTTTTGGCCTGGAGGATTTCTGCAGGGAGCAAATCCTGCTGGTTTTCCTGCTCAGGGAGAGGTCAGCGACCCACGCGAGCGTGGCCAGAATGAATCCCGAATTCCACAGGCTCGGGGATGTCTGCCCTAGTTTAAGCTTCAGAAAAGTAATGTTACACCTTAGGAAGAGCTGTGCATGCCACACGCCGGCATCAGAGCCAGATCAAAGTTATCCTATGCGGTACCTAATTGCTGGATACACAGGTGAAATGAGAAAATGTGAAGTCAGTACCTTGCAGTGTAATTTTACTGGTGCTGCCTCGTGGGAAGTGCTGGGTAGCAAATCACATTCGTGTACAGTTCATTAAGCCATGATAAAAATATGCAAATTAAAAATCTCTACAGGCCTCTGTTACCTGCTGCAACAGAGACTTGGGTTTGTGGGGCTTCGTTTAAAACGTGATCCAATTTCCTCCCTCTCCCCAGAGCTCGATATAAAACTGTACCCAAATTCAGTAAGAATTTAATGCATTTACATTTACTGAAGTTCACATGCTGCAAACAGATTCTGCATTGAAGATCTTCAAATCTAGGGCAAGAGGTCCTTAAAAAAACCCTTTTGCTACACTGGATGTGGGGATGGAGGTGAGAATCACCATGAGAACATTCACGTGGATGTAACACCCCGTGCAGGGAGGTGGGGATTGCCCCCCACTGCCCTGCCACAGCCAGCACAAATCCTTCCAAGGAGGAGCTGTCCCAGAGAGGGGGATCCAGGCAGGATCTCCAGCCCCAAAGCTCCAGGACTCTCAGTTGGATGGAAATACCAGCTGGAAGCGCCGCTGTTCTGCTGGTTAATAAAAATGGTATTTATTATTAAAAGTAGAAAACCAGGATGGTTCCTTTGGATGAAACACTGGCTGTCCTGTGCACAAGCCTTTGGGAAAACTGCCACTGGAGCAGAGCTCACAGCAACCTGTGCCCCTTCCACAGGCAACGTTTGCTGACAGTGTCGCTATACATTCGTTTGGTGCGATGCTTGTTTTGGTGTGAACGCCTAAAAAAAAGTTAATTGTAACAGTCCTAACTAAAACGGATTTTAATAACCACTAAAGAGTTGCTTGGATATGAAAATCAATCTTTGAAATGCAAGTTTGGTTCCAGGAGAGGAGGAAAGGAAGGGTGGGGGTCAAGGTTTGGGTCAGCTCTGTGACAGGGGCTGCCAAGAAGCAGCCACGAGCTGGAGGCCTTGGAACTCGTGCAGGAGAGAACCTCACACCTTCCCAGAGCAGGAATGCCCTGATGGCTGCTTTGGGAACTCTGCAAGTCAATTTTGCAGCTGCATGGAGAACACAAACGTCCTTGCAATGGTGCAAAGCCCAGCAGGGTGACCCCGTGTGACCATTCCCATGGAGGGATGCAGCAATCCTAAAGGAAGACTCATGTCCCTGCTCACCAGGAAAGGAGGAAAGGCAGATTCTTTGGGCTGCTTCAGCAGGAGGGGTTACACTAGCTCAGCCTCACAGGTCAGGACAATCAAGGTCCAAGCTGTAAAGTAGCCACTGGCCTATTTTCCAAATACATCCCTTTGAATACATCCCCCTAAAAAGAGAGTATAAATACGAAGCCCTGAGAACAAACTTCCACATAGTACATTGCCATTAAAAATACCAGTGTTTTGGTGACACAATTATAAGTTAGATATATTTCAATAAATAGTTGGCTACTTGCAAGAGGCCTGCAACATCAAAAGGTACAAGACTGTCTGGCTACCAATGGGGCAAAGAGCAGGAACTGTAAGAATCACACTCTTAGTCACCCACCACCCCATCCCTTTCCTGCTCCAGCTCCCAGGCTTCCAAATATTCCCTTGACCACGTTAAGAGAAAATTAACTCTGACATGTCTGTGCTAGCTGGAACTTGAACACCCGAGGTGCAAGCACAGGACCTGAGCCTGTAAATCCTCACTGCTGGGAGCAGTTCTTCCTCACAAAACGTGCTGGTTTTATTTAACAAAAATCTTTGCTGTGTGTTCAGGGATCTCTCACTGGCCCTCAGGGCAGATGCCCCAGTCCTGCACCCAGGGGCAGCACAGTTCCTCACCAGGCAAAGCCACACACATTCCTTGTGCCCCATGGCTGCACGTTCCAGCTCCAGGACAGTGACATCTCAGCTTCTGCAGGTTTTCCAAAAACTGGGCCAATCTGTGCCTTTCCAAGCACAGTGGACTCAACTCCCCTCTGCATTTTCTGGGATGAAGCAGCAATCCCAGCCCTGGGGTGATGGGACACAGCCCCCGGTGTAATTCACACCCCAGCACCACTGATGTGTGGTTTAACTCCTTCAACCTCAGGGGAGTTTTTGCTGGCTTTAAATCAACTCCTGTGCCTTGCTGCAAACACCACACCTCCTAAATTCTGGTCTCCTTTGGTTTTTGGTCACTGCAAATTTCAGCTCTCACAAGCCAAGCAGGGTCTGTTAAAAAAATTCCAAACAACCAAACAACACTTCAGTTTTGGAAGTGTTGAGCTCTGGAATAACAAAATCCAGAAATAACCACATCTTCTCAAGCCTCCCAGCACCCTAAAATGCAAAATTCCTTTATCGCTAGGGTCTCCCAGCTGCTGCTGCTGCTGAACCTGGGCATTCTCACCTTCTATCAGATAAGGAGAATCTGTTTTCCTGATGCTTTTCCCCACACTTTAGAAGCAGCTCAGTGGCACTGAGGGGTGCTGCCATTCCAAGGGAGGCAGCACTTTCACCCCTCAGTCCAACCATGGACTCCTGAAATCAAACCCAGCATTTCCCAAGCCTTTACAATCTTCAAGGGCCACAACTTCACCAAAGGATCTGTTTGCTAAGTCTGAACCTCTCCTTATCCATTCAGAAGCCAAAAACCTCCCACCAAACTACAGGGCAGTTTTTCCCAACTCTGCCTTCTAAAAACACTCATTAAAAGGAATATTAACCCTAATCCTGACTGTAGAGAAGGACATTTCTCTCTAACATTAAGAGCTTCAAGTAAAAGAGTCTTCTGGTATTATACAGGCAAAAAGCTTCAGGAATAAGCAAAAAAAAAATAAAATAAAACAATCAAAACCTTTCATAAGACCACAATATTCAGTCACAGCTATTCATGAGTAGCTGTGCTGAGCTCACTGGGGTGCAGGATCAGGCTCCTGGCTTCAGTTACAGGACAAGGTTATAATTTCATGTCAGCCTATTCTTAGCAAGAGCCCACAAAAATGGTTTTACTGTCCAATTTGAACAGAAGAAACATCTCTATAAAGCTTGGAATTTCTAAATGTAGAAGTAAATATTTCAGCAGTCATCAACTGTAAAGCTTAATATGAAATTACAAAATTAAAAAAAATAAAAGAATCCTGGGATAGTAAGACAAGATAAAATCTCAGGCTGTTTTGATTTCCCCACCCTTCATATTAATTATGAGAAATTGGCAACTTCAGTGCCTCAGCTGCATGACAGCACAGAGCAGATGCCAAGTTCAGGCCAAAACTTGTTGTAGGGTTTCGGGTTGCATCTTGCTGCATTTTTGTTTAAAAAAACCCCAACTGCACATAAATCCCTCCCACACCTCAGAGGTGACCTGCAGAGCTGCTCAGGATCTCCTGTCTCACAGGACACCTTTGTGCTGTTTAAGCACAGGGTCTCCACCTGCTTTCTCTGCAAGATTTGCCTCTTCTGCCTTTCCTGCAGGGCTGTGAAGCACAAGGCATGGCAGGGATGATGACAGATGTCAATCATGTTGCACTGAGTTGAAAATAAATCCCATATTTTTTTTTTTTAGCAGACTGCTAAAAAAGTAACACCTGCAGAGCCCAGTCATAAACACCAGCTGGATATTCACAGTGAGTTCTGCTCTTAATAGCTCAGAATTCCTCCCTGAAATCTCAAGTCAGTCTTCTGGCAAAATAGGAAAGACCCAGCCTGACATTCTTAGTATGGCCATGGTAAAAATAAGTATAAAGAAAAACCCACTTCTAACTCAAAGATAGCAATTTCAAGCGTGCTTTAAATACCTTAAACAAGATAAAAACCTGTGTGGTTCTGCTGCTTTACAGAACCCCAGCAAACCCCCCCATGCAATTCAGCTGCTTTTGTTTTTGTAAACAGAATAAAACCCCCACAAGCCCCTTGCCAAAACTGTGCACAAAAAAATGGGAGAAAAAACCACTGTGTGAACATATCTTTCCTTGCAATGGGATATGGCAGAGTGTGAGCTTAGGAATTGCAGCCACTTGGGAATCCAAGTCTTGATGTGGTGAATTCTGTGGTGAAAGAGATCCTGCACCTTTCTGGTACCTGACAGAGAATCTCCTGCAAGTACAACCCCAGTGGGACTGCAACAACACTAACGCAGCAAATAAATAGGAAAAAGTAATGCTATTTATTAGAATTCCATCTCTGAATGATTCTGCTTAAATTAGAATGCCAGATAAACAAGCTCAAATAGAAATGTGCTTGCTCTCCCAAGATTTGGGCTTTTAAAAAACATTTCCTAAGAATCAATTTTTTTTTTTTTTTAAAAAAAGCAGTTTTGCAATTTGATAAGAGCTATAAATTAATACTGTATGGAGATGATTAATATCCTATGCTAGTGGTCAGTGACCTTTTGTAAACACCAGCCAGATCCTAACAAAACTGGCCAGAAAACTGTCACAGGCCTTTTGAACGAGCAATATTTCTTTCCAACAATCAGATTCTTAAGTGTTTTCACAAAACCTTTTTCCTATTTTTTTTTTTAATATATATACTTTATTTTAAACCTAATACCTGAAAACATAAACAAATCCTCAAACCTCTTCCACTAACACTAAATCCACAAGGCAACTCACTCCTGTTGGCTGTTAACTACGAAAGCTCTCGTGCGAGAGACCCCTCCAGCCAGGATCTCCCCCTTCCCTCCACCCCTTCCCAACCATCCAGGCAGCCTCCTGTGGAGGTGGAGGGCAGTGAGGGGCAGGGGGAGGTGGCACAGTGCACTGGCAGCTCCCTCTACGTGCGATTCAGTGTCTGGAAGATTCGGGAGATCTGTAACATCACCGGCCCCGTTTCGGGATCGTTCATCCACTGAGTGCTGTTCAAGGGGTTTTCAAGCATATCCTCGAAGGCTGCCAAGAAACAGGGATTGCAACAGTTAGTCCCTCAATGTTTGGGAGGTTTCAACAGCAGGACAGTGAGAAACAGCCACAGCTCAAAGGCAGTGCCCAGAAATGGTGGGGATACACGTTGGGCATTCCCAAGGGTCCCCAGCCTGGGATGATGCTCCAGGTTTTTGCTTTCCTCCCTTCTCAGCACTGAACTCACTGCACACAGTGATTAAATACTCAGCCTGGATTACAGGCCAGCCCACAAAACCTCAAGGGCATGAGGCTGAAAAGGTAAAGCCTTAACAAATGTGTCCAGGTCTCGGTCTCCAGGATCGTGCCATGAAATTGATCCCTTCTGAACACTCTCCTGGAGCTCCACTCCTCTGACCAAAGCTTTTCCCACATCCCAGCCTGGATTTCTTGCACCAAGATCCTTTTCCTCCCTGGTACTTAACCAAGACAGTTCATGGAAAGCACAGTGGCCCCTTGCCTGTTTCCTGTGCTAAGTGGTCCAAATATTTAATAATCTGTCTTTACAATAAGCTTTGCTGTTTGTTTGCCTTTCTGTTGTTTTCTTTGACTGTTTCTGGTTTTGACTCTTCTACTCATGCTGAAGGAACCAGGCAGCCACTGCAAGAGCTGAGCTGCCAATCTGGCAGAGGAATGGGCCTGGCACTGATTTAAGCCCTTTGACAGCCACTGAGCTGGGCTTCTGGATATTTGGAGCCAGTCATCACAGAATGGGACAAAAGAAGCAGCTGCACAGTCACCAAAATGTCAGTGTTGTAAGAGCCTGGCCCAAGGTCAGGGTTAATTTTCCCAGGAGTGTCAGTGCACAAAGCTCAAGTGCCATTAGTAGGAGCTGGAAGTGCCCAGCACCTCTTACAGTCTCCTCATTAATACCTTGCTCAAGGTCATGCAACTTGCCTCCAGGAAAGCCCAAAATAAAATCCAGATCTCCCCTTTCAGCACTTGAACTATTTTCTTTTACACAGACTCACAAGCTTCAAACTAAAGATTTATCGATATTCTGTAAGGAGCTCATTAAATGCAAACCCTCATTATTAAAACCTGTGACATAAGCAATTTGCAGATGTATCATTAGGAATATATTCTCTGATGTTCATCCAAGCTCCATGAGCTCCTATAATGGCATTTCATTTTCTATTTATATTCTGAGCTGCAGTGTGGAACCCCTGTTGGAAATGAAGAGACCATTTGTTCAGAAATCAAGAGTGGGAAGGTTCTGCTCTTGAATTATTTAAAGGCTTGCAAACTCTCCTAATTACATTTAAAGTAGTATTTTAAAGGCTCTCTTGAATGAGCTGTGCACATAGCCTTTATTTAAAAGCATTGCTTCAAATAAGTTTTGAAGCCAAAGATTAAATGCAAAACTTTTTATATCTACATGACAGAGCCAGTGTTGTCAAAGAGAGCAATTCCTCAGGGATTTGAGGCTCAGTCAGTCTCCTCAGCTGGGCACACACTGTGCCCACAGCCTTTCTGACCCTGAGCACACAGACTTTACCACAAAGCTCAAACTCAAGCAAGGGGAAGGGTTTTTTCCCATTTTATCTCCATTTTGATAGGCAAAGCCTTAGCTCAACCTTCTTGTTTGAATATTTTTCCACAAGTTGCCTTCTGTCCCAGTGACCAGGCCTCACACACAGGGAGCTGCACAGCTGGAGACAGCCTTGTTTTTTCTGTGAAATAACCAGAGTTCTAGACAGACATTCCTGATTTTTCCCCTCGTGGGCAGAGGGAGCACACAAAAGGTCTCCTAAATCCACAAAACATTGCAGCCAGCAGCTATTCAAGTTCTGAGTTCAGCAAGTGTAATCCTGGGGAATTACAACCATTCCTGGGACAGCCCCAAGGCCTGCTCTGGGCTCAGCTGAGCTGCAGGGTGAAGCAAACAAACAGCAGAGCTGCTGCAAGTGAGCAACAGGCTCCAGAGCTGCCCCTATCCCCCAAAGGGAGCTGTCATCATCACCTCTGCTTGGATGTCCTGGAAAATCCAGCAGGAACTCACACAGGACTTACCTAGTAGAGTTTTAGGGTTGGTGAGCCCTAATTGTACCACTGGGTTTTCTAAGATGGCTTGGAAGAGAGGGCTGTTGGTGTCAATGCCCTTGTCTAAGTCCTCTGGAGAAGGTTTTCTGTCTCCCAGCAGCCACTCACACTGAAAGAAATCAGCAGGCACATCAGATTTCATTAGAACCAAAGTGTCTCTACTCAAAAGTTTTGCTAATGTGGCATTTTAAAAATTCTTTTCCCTCTCCCAGTTAAAACCTGAGCTGTATATTTCTTTTCACACATTCATTTGTACCATCCAAGCCAATATCCTCTCTCCAACAGCAGCCAGCACTGGATAGTGAAGAGAGGCTTCCCTGGCTGTCAGTGTGTCCACAAAATTTACCTTCATATATAGCAGGGGACTAATCCATCTTGGAAAAAATTCCTGTTTTCTGATTCCAGAAACTGTGGAAGCATTGCTGCCAAATGGTAATTTACACACTTGCATGGCTGAATCTATCCTGGATCATTGATTCCTGTCCTAAACCAGTTATTCTTGGGAATACCTTCTCCTTCCCCATGACAGCACAATCTCAGACTGTGGTGAGGGAGTTTCTCAAAAGCTTTTTGACAACCCAGCCTGAGCCTGACAGACCCTGAGCTCCTGTGAGGAGTCCAGACCCTTTGCAGTCATTCCAGTTGTGTATCCAATTTCAAGGAGGCACAGAATTTGTGCTCCTGAATCTTCAGCAGGAGTTGACTTTCTGACAGATCAAAACATGATCCAGTTCAAGGAGGAGAAGCATCAGTGGGACAGGCCCTTGGAGCAGGAAGGATGTTGTACTCACAGCTGCATTTTGCTGGTTGTTGTTCACTCTGAGTGCATCCACCACTTCCTTTTCATCAAATCCCATCTCCATCAGGGCAATGACAGCCTAGAGCAGAACCCCACAGCTTAATAAATCTTACATTTAGATCAGAAATGAGAGCAATAATATCCCTTCACCTTCTGTGCACAGCTTTACGTGAGGTAAAACCCCCTCATTATTTCCACATGCAGAGCACTCAGTAATTTCATTAACAAAGTTTTCAAATATTCTATATCAAAAGTGTCTTTATTATGGAAGAAGAAAAAAATCTTAGGAGTGAAGGTAGTTCCTACCCTCAACACTGGAAGCTGAATGCAAGGCAAAGAGCAAGTGTACCTGGGGTAGAAAAGAGAAGGAAAATGAGGAAAAATCCTCATTTTGGAGCTCCTCTCCTGTCACAAGGCTCTTGTTCACACCTCACTGACAGATCAGCCTTGATGTGCATTTGTGGTTCTATTCACCCCATTTAATTTCACTTCCCAGATGTGCTACACTGCTGGTGAGTGTGATGTGTTCAGACAAACACACCCAGGTAATGGCACCAGAATGTTTCATTGTTCAGAAACTGCACCCAGGCCATCAAACACATCTGCAGCTCTTAACCCAAATGTCATAACAGCCAGTTGTAAACCCAGGGTGCCAGATGTCACAGAGCCCCTCCTGGTGTGCTCCCAGTGGGAGAACAACACATTCCCACTGCAGGTAATGCTGTGTTCTGAAGAAAGGGCAACTTCTGTCCTTGCTGCAAGACTTCAATCTGCTGGTGGTACTTTGTCTTGTTCCCTAAAACAAGAATGTCCCTCTGTCCTTTCCACAGAATCATGGAATGGTTTGGATTGGAAGGGACCTTAGAGAACATCCAGTCTCAACTCCCTGCCAGGAGTAGGGACACTTTGCATGACCCCAGGGCTTTCTGACCCCATCCAGCCTTTTCTACAGCCAAAGGATCTACTCCTGTCCTGCCACCCTTCCTTCCCAGGCTGCAGTGAAAACAGCAATGCCAGGGGTCTGGAGCTCATGTCAGTCCCCTCAGAGAGTTGCTAGGTGCAGAAGTAACAGTGTCTGTCATGTAGATCCTGCTATCCCTGAGGCAAAATCCCTGAATTTAAACACTCCCTGAACACCTCCACTGAAATACTGCAAGGCCAGCACAACACCCATCTACCCAGAGGGCCCATTTCATTTATGAACTAAACATTTGGATTTTATGGTGCCCACGAAATCCCTGCCAATCCCACGAGCCCCACAGGGGATAGCAGCACCCACCCGTGGGTCTGGACGGAATTCTCTTTTCCTCCGGATCTTCTTGAAGATTTCCGTCAGCTCATCCTTGGCCTCCTCCCCGCCCTCCTCCGAGCTGGGGCCCGCAGCTGCCTCAGCAGAGGAGGCAGCACCTTCAGCTGGGGCTTCTGCAGGAGCAGAACCTGGCAGAGGAGCATCCACAGAAGGGTCATCAGCGTGTTCTATCAACCACTCCATGGCCTGGGTGACGGACATGCTGGAAAACACGGGAACAGTGATGAGGAACGCTCTGCATGTGGCAGCCACGCTCCATGTGCACTCATTTATTCCCATGCTGGATGCACCTGCAGGTTAATTAGCACCTGAAAGCTCATAAAGAAAGTTTTGGAGGAAATTAAACACTTCAGTTCTCTGGGCATCCGCAATCATCTCTGAATCTCGGAAAAGAGGCTCCAAGTCCATCTTGGACCTGCAACTCAGATATTGAAAGGCATTTCTGAGGGGGTCACCTCACTCTCTGCAGCACCTGCTGTGCTTCCCAAAGAAGCACTGGCTGTGTGCAGCTGTGGACAGAACTGCCAACAAAGCACATTCCAAATCTGCATTGGAGCCACATCTCAGGTGCCAAGGGCTCTGCTCCTCAGGGACAGGGGAGTAGAACACCATGGTGTGACACCATCACTTGCTGTGCAGTGTCACTGTCCCAGCTAAGGGATCCTCAGAGCTCCAAAACACCTCTCCTCAACAGGAAGAAAAGAAAAAGCCAAGATAACAATAGTGCAAGGAATGTGTAATTCCATTTGACACACAGGAATTATTGCCTATTCATGGAAGGAAGGGAAAGCCTTTGCCTATTTGGCTTTTCTGTTACAGCATGAAAGCTGCAGGACAGCAGGGGAGAAAGTCTTCCTGAGATACTGGAAAAGTGACTGGAATATGCTGTGGACTCCATCACCAAAATTTTTCAAGAATGGCCTAACAAACCCCCCTGAGGAGTGAGGCAGTCAGCTGCCTGTTTTTGGGGCATAAGAAGAACTACATAACCTCCTACTTTACTGCAGTGGCTCTCTGGACTTCACAAATACTCTTGGAATTTTTTAAAGATCAGCACAAAGTATATTCACAGTGTGGATGGGCAAAGTTTGCCCTTTCCTCTGTAAAATGTGACTTTGATACTTGGAAACAGTGCCAGCCTGGCAGCCCTGTGACCCCCAGACCTTGCAGAGCACATCCAGCCCTGATCCCCCTTCCCTGTGCCACCTGCACTGTGCCTGAGGCAGCACTTCTTGGAGTTCAGGCTTTCTCCAACCTCCACTGAGGTGACCCATATAAGGAGACCAAAAAAATGCAAATGTGTGTTAAAGCAGGTGTGGGTTAAAGTGCCAGGCAGTGCTGGACACTCACTGGTTCAGCCTGAGGGCTTTGACAGCTCTGCTCTCTGGGAAGCCCATCTCGGTGAGCTGGCGCAGCGCGATCTCGTCCACCCTGTCCTCCTCATCCTCATCCAGCATGGCTGCACACACACAAACAAAACAGAGCTCAGATTCATTCCAGCCTCACATAAACCCCTGTGTCAATGGAAAGGCATGTGTTAAGTTCAAGCCCCATTCTCTCTCCCATCCCTGCTTTTGTTTCTGCCCCCAGTTTGCCACCTCATCATGTAATTTGCTGCACTCAGCTCGCTCCAGCTCAGATTGATTCTTCCAGGACAAAGACTTTGTCCAGATGTGTTCAAGATATCTAACAAAAGGCCACTAACTGTCATATGACTGTGGGATTTCCACACAATTAAATATTTGAGATTCACTGAAGATCTATTAAGCATTTTTCTACAAATTAAGTTGGATCTGGCTGTAACACATCTCAAGGATGAGCATTTCCTGCCAACTCGATCAACAGCCACCATTTCTCCTCATTTTACTACATCCTTGTGAATTTTCAACTATTCTTTACCATCACTACTAACAATTTTTAAATCGAACTTCTCACCCAGCCAAAGGGACCTGTTATATCCATGATTTTTATCCACAAGGTGAAACTTTTGCCACAAAGTTTTCAGCAGCTTTGCTGCCACATCAGTGTCTGAACTTCACTCTGAGCCCATTGCTATGCTCCAAAAACAAATTCCCAAGATTGAGCCAACAACTCTAAAGATATGTTCATACCATTTGCCTTCTTAAATAGTTCAACTGCATCAGGGTTCAGTGCTAGCAATTTCTGTGCAACTTCTATGAGAGACACTAAAATCTTCCGGAGCTCTGTCTGGAACTGCAAGAAAGGAAACTGTCAAAGCATTTAGACAGGAAGTTACCAGCCATCAGTGAATCTTAATGTATCTATTGTTAGTAACACAGCAGCAGCCTGGCCCTCTCTACACGAAGTTGCTTTATTAGGGCTTTATTTTCATTGTTTAGTCTCTCAGGAGGTCTGGGACCTTCCTGTGAAGTGTTACATGGAAGCAAAAGCTCCTGGGCAGAAAGGTCCTTTTATTTCTACCACACCCCATGGGCAGTGGTCAAGGAAGGGAAATAAACCACAGGAAACCCTGAATTATTTAAGACTGAAGAAATAACACCCCATAACTTCACATATTCCAGATTTTGAACATGCTCTGAGGCTTTTTCCAGGCACAAACAAAACTTATAAAATCATAATTTACGACGGTATTTTATTACCACGTGTCTAACCCTTAATGTATTTAATACACATTACAGACATCTAAATTTCTCTTCTAGGAAAAAAGAGAACTATATTAAAAATATTAAAAAATAAATAGCAAGCAGCCTGTTTGGCTGTGGGTGCAGTACTTACATCCCTCATGTTGTGGTGGGTCACGCTGCGGTCCGCGCTGCGGGCGGGCAGGTTGGCAGTGGCTTTGAGGATGGCATCCTTGTCAGGAGCCTTCTGCTCCTGCTTCCTCTGCAGGGAAGGGAACAGGAGCAGCTTTCATAACCCATTAGGCACAGCACAGAGTTTCATGTTCCTCCCCAAGACACCAAGCAGTGCCCTGTCACTTGTGATGCCATGGATTAACAGCTCCAGTGTCATCCTGCAATTACAGAGCTCAGCTGGGCCCGTTGGGCTGCCCCGCTTCAGTCCTTACACCTAAACATGCAGGGAAATTCCAGCACTAAGAGGGACAGTGATGTATCCCAGAGAACTCCGAGTTTATGTGATACATCAACGTGCACTAACACCATCCTGACCCTCAGGAACAACTCCAATAAAACAAAATAAAACAGTCAAGGGCAACATTCCAGCTCCAGAGGCTGGTTAGAGGGTGGCAGAAGGCAACCTGACAGCAAGCCAACATATTTCTTTGTGTTTTTATAACAAACTAAGGCACTTGCTGACCTGTATTTTAGTTATTAGACATTTGTTCAAAGATCAAATCTGTAACATTTTCACAGAGTGTATCTGTGTGTCTTATTTTAGGGCAAATGTTCTCAGAATGACATTAAAAATGCAAAATCAGCTTCCTTTAAGTTTGGAAGAAAAAAAAAGCAGTTCCTGTAGAATTTAACTGGCAGCATCTCCCTCTCCAAGGTGAGCACATCACAGTAACCCTTGCCCACCAATAAAGCAGTTATTTTAAAGTGTTGCAGACTCACTTTCTCCTCTGCAACCACATCTGACATCTTGGGGAGCAGCGTTGGCGCGCGCTTCTTGACCAGAAGCAACACATCTGTGAGAGAGAGAGAGAAGGACACTGCCACAGGTTAGAGAGTCTGGGAGAGCAGCTCTGCAAGATACCCCTCAAATTCAACTGTTCCTGGAGATTAATTTTGTGTTAGTTCCATTTATTTAGCTTCCTATGTCAAAGCAGAGAGAAAATCTTACAAACGTTTGGAATGTGCCAGGTGAAACCCAAGCTCCTCCTTCCAGACCGATAAAATTCAAACCCAGACAATCTCACCTCTGTCCTGAATGTTCTCCTCCAACACTGTTTTTGCGTCTGTCAGCACCTTCTCAGAAGTAGCATGGATCAGCTTGTGATGTGTCACAGTTTTGGGATCCTCCAAGCTCCCAGGAAGACACTGCAGGAGACAATAAACACGGCAGATCAGAGGACAGAAAGGAGGCTCCTCAAGCACTTGGCACTCAGGATCCTCCACATACAAACTCTGCATCATTTCCTGGCTTCTCAAGAGCTTAAGCCAGAGGTCAGTGCACATAAAGCATTTTATTGAAGAAAAGGAGGTTTGATTTGTGCCTGTGTGGGTGGATTTGTGCTTTCTCAGGACATCTCTCTCACGCTAAACTCTGGACGTGCTGGAAATCTGAAGCAAAGCAAGGATGCTCCAGGACCCACTGCCACGTTAATTCTGATCACTGAGGTCCCTCAGAAACTGGTTTCACAAAGTAAAAATGCAAATCTACCAAGAGTTTTACAGGAGTTTTACAGGCAGTGTCTTACAGGAGGGAAGGCTGGAATGATGCATGTCCTCATTTGGAGTGTCCAAACAGGACAGACTCCCTGCCTCACCTTATAATTATTATTTACTCTCTGAGTAAACAAGGCACTGCCAACAGTGGTTTTGGTTTCTCTGACCTTAAGCTGGGCAGTTTCTGCACCTTGTTTCAAGCTGAAATCAAGAGATTTGGCTGCTGGAGCCCTAACCTGGGTTCCTGCTGAAAGGGCTGAACTGAAGTTCCATTCACAGCTCTTCCTCCCAACCATAAATAATCAGAATACAATGGATTTATTTTTTTTTGTGCTCATTCCCTTATTGCAATTCTGAATTGCATGCCAATTAATTCACCAGGAAATCAGTTCAAATCCTAAAAAAAGAGTGCTCACACAGGCCTTGAGCTGCCTCCTCCTCACACCAGAGTGGCTCCAGATGCACAGTGAAAGATTTCCATCAGTGCATCTAGAGGCTTCCAATTTGTTTGAGTGCAAAAAAGAAAGCAAAGTGCTTGCAATTCCAGAAAGGCAAGATTAGAAATAACAACCTGAAATTGCTGCTGCTGTTCTCACCACAAAACAGGACACTCCATACTGACCTTGCCTGCTCTGCCCACAGCCAACAGCTTTTAATGCCACTTCCAAATGTTTCTACCAAGCCACTTCCACTGTGTCTGCAGGAGAGAGTGTCCACCCCTTGTGCAACAGAGCCATTCCCAGAAATCCCACTGAAAATCCCTAATTTTGGTGCTGCTCATCACCAGCCTCCTGCAAAGGAGCCTTTTTGTCCATCACCACCTTTCCTGCTGCCTGCAGCTGATGGAAACTCAGCTCCCTCATGGTTTTCCAAACAAAACACTCCTGTTCCCAACACAGACTCCAGCCCCTCACCTGAACCTCTGATGCCTCCCTGAGATTGAGCTGAGAAAATCTGAGTGCTGCTTTGTCTAACAGGAGCTTCCCAGGGAGCCTCCAGCCCAAAAAGTGCTGAACCAGGGCCAAAGAACACATTAACAGCTGGGAGCAGCTCCTGTAATGGAGCTGATAAAGGGGCCCAAAATGCCTGGGGACATCAGTGGAACATCTCTGCAAAGCAGCTCAGAATATTCCTGGTACAGATCCTGAGCTAAGAGGAGCTGAGAAGGGCAGCTGGGATGGGATGGACACACAGACCTATTCCATTTCCCCCTGCACATACAAAAATGTATGTGGGCATAATCACATAATAAATGTGAGCAGTAATTAATCATAAAACTAATCAGGTGAAGGCTTAAGCAAAAAAAAAAAAAAAAGCCAAAACAAAGTTCTGAGGCCACCAATTCTTATTTCCTGTTCTTCCAACCATTTTAGTAACAACTGCAGAGAATAACAGGGCAGACATGGGCACCACAGACACCAAAGAGGCTGCTGAGTGAAACACCTGGCTTATCTTCAAACTTTAAATGCCCTGGAAACAGAAAAAACACCTGACCAGCAGTGCCTTTACTCACTCTCACCTTTTCTTTTTAATTCTGGAGTTCCCAGCAGGCTGCTCTGCCTGGCAGGGCACAAACATTTGTCACAGGTGCCTGAGCAACTGCTGAAATCCTGAGCCCTGGTGATACCAAACACCTCTTGCAAAGCTTGGAATCCTGGTAAACCACAAGGCTTTGTTTGTTTTAAAATAAAAAAAAAAAACCCAAAACTCTTTTTTTGGTTTGCTTTTAATAACAGAAACATCTGAAAACAGCCCTGACACTCCCTCCTATTAAACTTGGGTGGTTTAAACCATCTGTTTAAACAAATATTACAGGTAAGGGGAAAAACCAGTGGGAGAGGTTTATTTCTTTGTCTAACAAAAGAGCCCAAAACACCAAATTTGGGGGAGATAAAGACATCAAGAGTGGCACTTCAGAGATCAGCCAGCATCTGAAGGTTATGGAGGGAAAAGTGGCCACTTTCCCAGCTGCAAGCTGTTACAAATATCTCCCTCTGCTTCCTGAAAGATTCCAAATTTCAGACACACTCAGGAACAGCCTCTTGGAGGAGCTAGAAATTACCTCAAGGTGTTATCAAGATTCAGTCCATGAGCAGGAGCCATGATTTCTCCATATTTTACCCCATTCACAAAACTATTTATTATCCATGGTTATGGAAATCCAGCCCAGGATGGATTCTTGCACAAAGCAGCAGAGATTGAAATCAAATATCACCCTGAGTTATCAAATTGTGCCTACACCTGCTCTCTGTCAGTGTGAATCCGTTCCCCCTTGTCCTGTAAAGCTCCATCCCTCTCTCCCTGTTCTGGAAGGGTTCCTGGGCACCTTTATTTCACCCAGGAAATAAAACATTTAACCCTTCAAAGGGGAGTTAAGTGGTTACAAATTACAGGGTTCTTCTCCTATTGCACAGGTTTCACGTTAAAAAAAAAAACCCTTTGCATGACTTTAAAGACAAACCCCCCACCACTAAACGCGATTTAGTGAATTAGTGAATCACATTAAACGTGATTTAGTGAATTCATGATTCACGTTAAAGGTGATTTAGCGCTGGCAGAGCTCAGGGCTGCACAGCCCTCAGGGGGCAAGGCAGAGCTCAGGGCTGCAGCTGCCAGGCCGGGCTGGCCCCGGGCTCCTGGCCACGGTCACCGGTGCCACTGCTGCTGTCACTCAGCAGCACACCGGGCTGGGGTGAGCCTCCAGCCCAGCCCAGGGGCTGTGGGAGCACCAGCGTGGGCAGCCTGTGCTCCCCTCCCTGCTCCCACAGCTCTCTGGGCTCCTTCTCCCTTCCCTTCGGCCACCTCCATGGAGATCTTGTTCAAAGCACACGGAGAGCGTGAGAAGAGCTTTGATCTCCCCCCAAAAAACACCTCAGCTGCACTCAGAGTTTAACAGAGCAGGCGATTTCTCCTCCTCAGTCCCTGCCTTCCTCCTGTGTTCAGACACAAAACAATCCAGGCTGGAGCCCAGCTCCCACAGCCCGGCCATCTCCGACACCTCCAAAGTCTGGAACCAAACATTCCCAAGTGATCTCTGCCCAAACCCTCCTCTACCAACACGCAAAACTCCCCAGAAAGGGGTTTTATTTCCGTACGGAGCAGTTTGGGGCAGCTCGGGGGGAAAGCAGGACACAGGGCTCCGCTCTCCCTGCGCTGATTCCCCCTCTTTTCAAAGCCATTCACGGGGCGTTAGAAAAACCAGTTTTCCTCACGGGACAGTTTCCCTTTCGCCCGGACTGTTCATTCCGGTCGTTCCCTGGCTCCCTGCCGATTTGCAGCCCCGGTCCCGCTCCCGGTGGCTCAGCCCGCTCCAGGTCCCGCTCCCGGTCCTTACGTGCTTCAGGCACCGCTCCTTGAGCTTCTCCACCGTGGTGTCCTCGGGCACCTCCTCCAGCCACTCCGCGCCCTCCATGGTGCACACATGGAGCCTCAGCACCTTCCCCGCAAAGATCTTCTCCTCCTGCACGAACATCGCTCCCGCTCCCGGTCCCGCCGCTCCGCCGCCGCCTCAGCAGGCCCCGGGCAGCGCCGCGCGCTCCCGCCCGCCCATGAAGGTGACCCCGCCCGGCCCGGGGGAGCGGGGAGCGCGGCGCTGGCTGTGCCCGGCGCGGCCCTGCCCGGTGTCACCGCCCGGGCCCCGCCGTCCCTCCGGGGACACGGCGGCGCGGCCGGAAACGGAAATGCTGGGCACCGCCGGGGCATGCTGGGAGATGTAGTTCTACAGGGGTGGGCTTCTCCGGAAGTGAGGGCGTAGAACCCCCCTCCCCTTCACGCCGCTAGGCGGGCAATTGAGGTTTTCAATCTCTAATAAATCTTTAATAAACCTTCAATGAATTATTAATGACACTTAATGACGTTTAATGACGTTGAAGACCGTTTATCAACGGCTCCTCTGCGCCGCAGTTAACATGGAGTTGCCCCGATGCATTGTGGGATCGCGGTTTGTCCCCGTGTCCCGGTGCGCGCTGGGACTGCGGCGCCGCCCGGTGCATGCCGGGAGTTGTAGTTCCATCCCGCAGGGCTCGGGGGGTCCCTGAGGCGGCCCGGGCAGGGCTGAGGGGTCGCGGACACTCCGGGGACACCGGGGGGCACCGGGGCCATTCTGCTGTCCGAGCAGGGCGGGACGGAGCGGCCGGGGGCAGCGGGTGTTCCCCGGCGGGCCGTTAGAGGGGGCCCGCGGGCCGCCGGTTCCCGGCCCGCTCCCCGCGGGACTCGATGCCCGGCCAGCGGGACTGGTTTATTTTTTATATTTTATCATTACAGCTGTTACTGTGTCACTCAAACCGTGTTATTTCCTACGGCTCGTGCCCGAGCCGCGCCGATCGCTTGGGTTCGGGTTTCGCAAGCGTTGGAGAGCAAAGTGGTCACGAGTTTAAAGTAAATACTTATTTAAATTAAATCCATAAATTCCCTCCAGGAGTGGCTCTCCTGCTTTAGAGCTGCGGGGCTTGGGAGGGTGGGTTTCTGTCGGAGGCACTGTGGGGCTCTGACAGCCCCAAAACACATCTGTCCCACGTGTGTCACATCTGTCCCAGCTGTGTGTCACATCTGTCCCAGCTGTGTGTCACATCTGTCCCAGCTGTGTGTCACATCTGTCCCACGTGTGTCACATCTGTCCCAGCTGTGTGTCACATCTGTCGCACGTGTGTCACAGCTGTCCCAGCTGTGTGTCATGTCTGTCCCAGCTGTGTGTCACGTCTGTCCCAGCTGTGTCACATCTGTCCCAGCTGTGCATCACATCTGTCCCAGCTGTGCATCACATCTGTCCCACGTGTGTCACATCTGTCCCAGCTGTGTCACATCTGTCCCAGCTGTGTGTCACATCTGTCCCACGTGTGTCACACCTGTCCCACGTGTGTCACATCTGTCCCAGCTGTGTGCCACATCTGTCCCAGCTGTGTCGCACGGGGAATTCTGCAGAGCAGCCCCAGGATCTGTCTGTGCCCGGCAAGAACAACAAAAATCCCCCTGGAAGGGGCTGGCCGTGCTCGCTCTGCGCCCACTCTGCGCTGCCCCTGACGCGCTGTGGGGATTTTAGTGTGAAATAAACCATCAAAGGGGCTTGAAATAAATAAAAAAAAGGGCACTGGGGTTGATGGATTTATGAGATGGAGCTGTTCTTGTCCTGAAAATTAGAGGAATCTGTGGTGTGTTCATCCCTGCACTGTCCGTGAGTGGAGTTGGTTGAACAGCAGATAAATCCTGCTGGAATCAGCCCCAGAGACAATAAAAGCAATAATAAAGTGTCTGTGAGGAGGAGCTGAGAGCTTTGGGGAGCCAGAAGTCGAGCCCGTTGTGAAAAACGCCAATCACTTGTTTTTGAAATTTTAAAAGTTTAATAGTAGTAATATAATTAGAATAATAAAGTTTGAACTATTGAGGTTAGGACAATATGAGACAATAAAAGCAAAGAGATACTGACATCTGGGTACCTTTTTCTGGGCATCACGAGCCCGAAAAAGGACCCAGTTAACAGAGGATTAACCCTTAAAAACAATCGCCTGTTGCATATTCATACATGATGCACAAATTCCATTCAAACACAGGATTCTGTCTGGTCACTGTCAACTTCTTCCTCTGAATCCTCATGCCGTCTTCCTGTCTGAGCGAGGTGGGAAGAAGTTCCTTTTCTGCTGATAAGGGAGCAATAAATTCCCTTTCTCTGAAAGATTTAGGTGTCCTGTGGCTTCTATCTGGTGCGAGTCCTTTCTTAACCAAATATCTTACATAGCATAGTTCCTATTTTAACATTATGTTATAACCTAAACCAGTATTTAATAGTTAATTTAATACTTAAGAAAATTAATACAGCATAACTTTCTAACATAACACATACAATATTCATTTTAATACTTGCGAAAAGCCAATCACAAAATACACATTTTTCACACCGTCGAGAAGCAGGGTGAATTTGGGGCTGCCAAACGCTGCCACAAGGAGCCCCAGCCCGGGGCTGCCTGTTCCTGGTGTTTGTTTGTCCTTTTTCTGTGCTGGAGCAGAAGCTCCCACAGCTCCCAAGGGACATTTCCCATCCCGTTTTCCGACGTGCCAAGGAACCCCAGCCCTTCCTGCTGTGCTGAGCTCAGCCTCCAGCCCCAGAGCCCACGAGAGGGAGCAAATTCCTGCTCTGCAAACTCCTCCAGCGGCAGAATAATCCCATGAGTTCCCCCAAAAACGCGGCCCTGGAGCTCCTGGGTGACCCCAAGTCCTTGTGATGGGCTGAGCACGACCTGCCCCACACCAGATCCACCCTGAAAACTTCTCTTTCCCTCTGATTCCTGATGGTTTTGCTGCTTCCAACCTTTCCCTGCCCCGTGGAGGGAGCTGAACTCTGGGGCTGGCTCGGGAGGTGCCACTCAGAGCCCTGGATTTGGGGACAAACAGGATAAGGCTTTGCTGGGAGTTGTTTTAAAGCAGCCAGGGAGCAGGGAGTGATGTCCTAGCAGGACAATTCCAGTGCTGTGGAGCTCCTGGGGTGCCCAAGACCTTCCCCAGCCATGAAGGGGCTCTCAGCAGTCGCTGCTGCAGAGGAGAAGCAATATCTGGAGGTGAATCTGGAGCAGAGGCAGGGAAAAATAAAAGAGATTTCTGCTTTCTGGCCACCCCTTGCGCTGAAGCAGCTCTTGCCTAACAGAAGTGGAATACTTTATTTCCATGCTTTGAATGCAGCTCCAGTGTGCTTGATAAAATGAACCCATAAAATTGCAAATATGAGGCAATTTGACTACTGATGGCTAATGCATCATAAGGGCCCAGGGAATGGGAGCATTTAAAAATACCCCATCGAAACATTGGGCACTGCCTCCCTGCCTTGCTCTACAGCAGAATAAATAAACAATATGTGTCTATTACACTGGTGTTGTCCAAAGCCAAAAGAATGAGTGCACAGTGTGCTACTTGCTTTTTATGGCTGATCCATTATGCCCAGGGACCAAGGTGGGAAATAGGAAAGGGGGAATCAACAGCTTGGAGGAAAAGCTCCTCTTGTTTCACATCCCCAGGGGAATTATTTTCCCTGGTTGCACCCAGCAGCAGGATCCTTCCCTGCTCCCCAGACTGGACTCTGCTCCAGTTTTGGGGGGACAGAGCCCACAAGCCTCAAACACCCCCTGAGGTGCAGGGGAGCAGCGAGGGAGCAGCTCAGTGTCAGTGTTGATTCCTGCAGGAAACAAAACACCAGGGAGCTGGCAAGGAGCACAGAAAGAGGCTTTTCACAGGGGTGGATGCCAGGACTAGGGGGAATGAGTTCAGACTGGCTGAGAGCAGGGTTAGGTGGGATCTGAGGAGGGAATCCTTGCCTTGAGGGTGGGCAGGCCCTGGCACAGGGTGCCCAATCCCTGGCAGTGCCCAAGGCCAGGCTGGAGCAGCCTGGGACAGTGGGAGGTGTCGGATGGGATCAGTTTTAAAGTCCCTCCCCACCCAAGGAGCACAGGTGTGGGAGTAGAACCTCTGTGCCCTCCTCAATCCCATTCCTGGGCTCGTTTCTTCCCTTGCAAGAGCTCCAAGGAGCTGATTCCAAACCAGGCAGTGCTGGCGGAGTGGGAACATCCAGCTCGGGGGAATCCACGCCAGCAAACCCCGTAATCTCTTCTAAATTGTCTGAGAGTGGGAGGAATAAAAGAGAGTGAAAATTACACACCTTCCCCCCCCCCAGCTTTTCCTGGGCAATCTCAGAATTTATCGAGACAACTCCTGTGGGATGCTCCATCATGTCATCCAAGACTTGTGTATCGACTCTTCTCCTGCTGCTGCCGACGGAAGAAATATGATAACGGGAGGAATAATGAAGCAGACATGTTTGCTCCAAATCAAACCTGCTCTCTCTTCAGCCGGGAGAAAAGGGTAAAGAACTTCCCCTTCGTGATATTTTTCTCAGTAATGTGTTTTGACAATTTAATTTGGAAGTCATAGAGTAGCGAAGACAAAGTCACCCGGTGGGTGGACATCGGCGAGTTCCGTTGCCTTTGTGATGAATTGGTGATAGTACAGAGATGACAAAACAACACAGGGGGACAAGAAGGAGGCTGGCAGCACTGTCGGCAGCAGGCACAGGATAAATTGAATGCTACACTTCATCCAGGAGCTTCAACATTCCCAGGCATCCCGACGTAATTTATGAATTGCAATTAGCATTTTATTACGGCTCGTGCCCGAGCTGTGCCTATCGCTTGGGTTCAGGTTTTGCAAGAGCTGCAGAGCAAAGTTTCCCTAAGTTTAAAGCACCTGTTTATTGAAATTCAAGTGATAAGTGTGCTCAGGAGCTGGCTTTGCTGTTCTGCAGCCGCAGAGGTGGAGTGTGGGTTTCTCGTGGGGAGGTTTTGGGGCTCTGGCAGCGCACACGTGCTCTGCTGCTGTTGGACAGGCTGTCCCAGGAATGCTGCGGGATTGCTGTGGGATCAGCAGCAAAGCAGCCCTGGGGAGCAGCAGGACCAGTCTGTGCCTCACAGCCCCAGTTTGGGGTCTGAGCTCTGTCCCTGCTCCCCAGCGGGCTCTGAGGCTTCTCTGTGCAGCTCTTGCAGAGCCCCATCCTGATCTTTTGGATCTGATGGCTCCCAGATTTATTTCTCTTTTTCCTGAGATGTGGAAACTTCAACCTCTTCCCCTCTGGTGACTTCTCCAGTCGTCCAGCAGAGGAGCAGCCACTCCTCCTGCTCCCTTTTTCATCCCAGGTGGGAA